TATATATATATATATATATATAAATTCAATAATACAATTCAGATGATCAAGGAAGGATATACATTTAAAAACATGAAGTACCACAATGCATACAAGTTTTAATAAATAAATGTATATTTTGAAATCACAGGAAAATACACATTAACAGATTCAAATCCTAATGGATCAGTTGTAAATGTCTAAAATCATGGTGCATATGCCTGTACATATTCTAGTTTTTCTTATCCATTTTTTTCTCCAGGCACATCAACTAACTCATTGCAATACTCCACAACATTTTGTTGATTTATCTGTGTCCTTTACTTTTTTAAACTCTTGGCAATTGCACATGCTGCCAACAAAAAGCTGCTTTTGAGGTTTTCTTCCTGAAGAACCAGCTCCCACATTCTTCATTAATGTCACTATTTTAAAGGACTATTCATTATTTTATATTATCCAAGTGGCTCAACTTTAATTCAGATGTATTTTTTCTGTGGATAATTTAAACTTCCTCAATTATGGCTTCATCCAAGGCCCATCAAAATCATTGGAAAAATTCCCATTTGGAATCAGCTTTGATGTGCTTTGGTTCAGGCTATAAATAGTTATTAATTCTGGCAACTGAATGCATAACAATTCAGATTCCACAAAATCAAAAATTAGTGACTGTCTCAGGATCCCATTTAGGCTAAACATCTGATCAAGCATTGTGCTGGAATGTAAATACTGTCACTTTTGTTGCCTTTGCAGATTATCATTCTTGTTAAGGCCCTAATTCAGGAAAGCACTTAAGCATGTGCTCAAGGCTTTGCTGAACAGGGTTGGATTTAAGAGTTACATACTCATTACACGTATGTAATAACAATAAAATAAAAATAAGCTAATATAATATAAAGAAATTGTAATTTCTTTGCTATCCAACACTTGATCCAAAATTAAAAGGTGATTACTGGGTTAACTACACCCTGTTTAATATTGCAAATATTTTGGCAATATTGCTGAAAGGCAGAACAAGGACCTTTTCTCAACCAGCAGAAAGAAGAATTAGTTCAGTTGGAACCAATATTAAGCTAATATTTTCTAATGTTTTAAGAAAAATCTTTGCATTAAAAATATTTTGTGCATCCAATCTTCCCCTCCTTAGTTAGGAAAATCTTCAAATGATTTAATGACTGTTCTTCCAGAGTACCTTGAGCTAAAGAAATAAAAGTTGACTTGCCTTTAATTCTCTAATTCTCCAAAGAATCACTTAATTTTGGGCACTGTGAATAATTCATTTAATTTCAATAGGGCTACTCACACTGCATATGTAAAAATTGTGCCAAAGTCTGAACTATGGTAGGTATGAATTGCAAAAATTGCTATTTAATTTCCTGATGTGGACACTGCTGGTACTAATTAAAATGTACCTGTCACATTAACAGTCTTGTTTGAAAGAGGACCAGTGGACTTTTTAGCTTGTGCTAGCAGCATCCAAATGGGACATTTAGATTCTAACACTTTGGGGGAACTCTGCAGTTTATACCCCTTTACTCAGCACTGTGATACAGTGTACACAAGCTGATGTGTAAAGTGTGTATCAGTCCTTGCAGGATCTGAGCACAGGTCTTTCTGATAGATGGGACATAGGTATGTATGATTCTTCTGCTTCTTGAAGTAGATTTTTGTTTTGTTTTGCACTGGTAAAGTGCAATGGTTTGTGGAGACAGGGTGGTCCACTGGTTATAACAAAAGACTGGATAGCATTATTATGTATGAATTGTCATGTATTGGCAATGTGCATACAAGACAAAATTGCAGCCAATCATCTCACCCTGATGAATTTAAGATCTAATCAAACGGTCCTATTCCTGATTCTGCCACTGACTTAACCAAATAACTGAGGCTCCAATCCTATGAGTTAGGATGCATGGATCTAGGGTGTGTGTGATCCAAGGTGCAGGATCAGCCTAGGCTGAGTGGAGGTGGACCCCTGGGTCCATGAAAATGCAGGGATCCATCGCTGGAGAGCTCACTGGAGGCCCCCTAATCTCTTTGTACCTCAGGTACCCCAGCTGTAAAATTGGACCCACCTTTGTAAAGTGCCTTGAGATCCCCAGACTGCAGGAGCTGTCAAGGCACAAAGCATTCACTAGCCGATTAGTGCTCCTTGGGAAAACTGGGGGAGGGGTGTCTTTCCCCCAGCCTGTCTGCTCTCCACTCCTTAAGAGTGCGAAGGGCGCCTCTGCCTGGAGCTCGTTTCCCTCCCAGCCCCACTCCCCAGGGATTCCCTCACCTCCTAGTCCAGGCTGAGGAGCCCCCTAGAAAAGCAGCCGGGGGGTGGCCGGCTGAGGGCTCCGCCGTTCCCTGCAGGGGGGTTGGGAGAACTTCCTTGGGAGGATTTCTCCTCCGCCCGCTTTGGGATTCCCGGCCGCGCTCTCCAGCCCAAGTGGGGGAGCGGGGTGGCCCCAAGCCGAGCGCTGCCTCCTCTTGCCAGCCGAGCCGGAGGGGAGGGGCGGGGGCTGGTCGTGTGAGTTCAGGCGGGTCGGGCTGGGGTAGGGTTGGGAACTCGGGTCCTGGCGGCGGAGGAGAGCGGAGCCGGAGGGAGCGCGAGCCAGAGGCCCCCGCGCTAGCTGCCTCGCCCCGGGTGCCCGGCATGGGATTGCAATAAGGGAGCGCGGGGCGCCAGCAGCAAACTTCCGCAGGCGCGGGAAGTCTCTGAGGGGACCAGCGGCGGTGCCAACATGAAAGGTAAGCGGGGGGGGGGGGGTCCAGTCTGCAGGGCTTGCTGTGCGGGGGGGAGAGATACCTGCCGGGAAATCTCTGCCAGCCCCCGTGTGTGCGCTAAAGCGCCACTGGCACGCCCTGGCCACAGGGGAGAAATGTGCGCGGGGTCGGGGGGTTGTTACCGCCCGGCTCCTCTTCACGCTGCCCGGGATGAGTTTCTAAAGCAGACTACAGGGCAGCCCCATGAAACTGCGAACAGGGATCTGCTTCAGACTTTGGGACTGGGGGTCAAAAAAACACCTCTCAGGAGAGAAGAGCTCCCCGAGCACTCCTGCTCCCCCGCCCTCGCTGCCTGACCACCTAGCGCTTTTCTTGTCCCCCTTTTGTTTCCCCGTGCTTTTACAAACACAGCCGCTTTTTTTTTTTTGTCCCGTCGTTCGTGATGTTCTTGGTGTTGCTCTTAAACATCTGGCAATGATTAGGTGCCAGGGGAGGTTTAACTGGCTTATGAAATGTATTTGGCATCCTTCACCCCAAGATCCACGGACTGGAAAATATTTGGTCTTTTGCTTTTTGCATCTGTTAAAACTGAAACTTAAAGCCCCCCTCCCCTTAAATGGGTGAAACACCCGCTGTTTTTACATTAACACACCAGTTGGCCCTGTTCATGTCCTATAAAGTTGTGACTAAGAGGTATCAGAGAGTGGGCTTTTTAAATCAAATACAGAAGTGCCTCTCCAAACTGCTATAGTTGTAATCTAATAAAGATGTAGTAGGGATTTGCTAGAAGCCCTCCTGTTTATGAAAAGCGAGAGCTGTGCAGCAAAGCAACTCTATACTCTGCCGAACATTACAAAGAAAGCATCCAAGAACACTAGGGGAAGTTTAGGAAGTACTTCTCAGTTTGCAGGATTCAAGTTGAGTTTTTCTTCAGAGACAAAAATAAACTTTTAAAAATGCCAAGAAGCCTGCAGTTGGGAATCAGTTTAGAACCTGGATTGTGCATTTTGATTCTAGATGCCAGCAGGCCAGAAACATCATACACTTAGTTTCCAGAGCTCAGTACAGCAACCAATGTGATCTCTTTTTTGCATGTGAGTAGCTGTTTAAAGGGAGGAATGTGGTTGTTTTTATTTGTGTTGTGAACCCACACATACTACTTAAATAACTTTTGGCATTGTGACAAGATATCTCTAGGGGAGCCTGCAGTTTATTAACAAGAATATATTCATTTTTATTTATAGATCACTAGTGCCAGAAGTTTTGTCAGGGTCTTGTTGCTGTCAGCTTTAATGCAATCATCATAATTCCTATCTCTTATATAGCATCTTTCACTGGCAGATCGAAAGTGGCAGAAACAAAATAGTAGAAATAGCAAATTTAAACCAGCTGTGTGTTTGACAGTCTTTAATTCAGTGTTTCTTCTCATGTTGGCATTGAGGCTTTGCTCACTTATTTTCTATCAGTCTCTTTTTTTGGGGGGGGGGTGAGAGGGAGGTGAGGTTAAAGGACATTACCATGATACCTTACCTTGCTGCATGTCCATTGAACAGGAAGGATCCTGCACCCACTGAAGCCAAGAGGAATTCTGCAGATACACAGTTTGAGCTGATACTTGTAACCCACTGGTTTGTTTGTTTGTTTGTTTTTTTCTGCTATCGGCAGAAATGGCACTCTGAGAAGGTGTTATGACGTCTATAAATCAGTTTTTGTTGCTCCAGAAAATGCAGTATTGGTGGAAAGCTTCACACACCTTTTTAGTCCCTAACCACAATCTTTCTTCAGAAAGTTTCACAACTGCTTGACTTCTTCTCCCCTCCTAAAAAAAAAAAAAAAAAAAACCCTCTGGAAACCTATAAGCTTTGTAAAATAAAATATTTACATAACAGTATTAATAGAAAACATCTTTGAACCAAGACATCAAATCAACTGGTACTGCAAGAGTTATAGAAGTCCTAAATACTGCCAAAGTAAATTTTGTCTATGTTAAAGAGGCAATAGGAAAATACATATTTGGCTTTCTGCATTTCCCTGTTTAAACATGGTGCTTGTAATAACGCTAGAGCTTTTAAACCTAGTGTAATCACACATTCTTCTCATGAATAATAAAATAGACGAACTGTTGAATGCAATAAACAGCTGTCTTTATTCCCGTATCTACATCTCTAGAGAACAGTATCAAAATAATTACATCATTAGATATTTTTAAGGAATAAATTATATTTTCCATTGCTTGGATTCTTGATGTGCTGTCTTAAATCAGTAAAATAAATTGAAATGTGTTTAGTTTACTGCCAGATTTATTTCCAGTAAACTAAACTGAGCTCATAAACGTTGCTGCATTTTTTTTTTTAAATAAATAGCACTTATTTATAAAGGGACTCGACTGCTGTAGGGTTAGCCGTATCTTTATCTAATACTTCTCAGTTTTTGATATTTTGTGAATTATGAAGTAGTACTTGTTGTCTAGGAAACCAGTGGAAAACTTTCACATATTTGAATAACACGTGTTCAAAACCATTGGGCCTAATTTCATGCAGGAAAAGAAGATGCCATTAAAACTGAGTGTTCGACTGGATATTGCTGAACTTCTTTGTTTCAAATGAATCAGTAGGCACTATACTTCTATCACAAATGTTCTGCTCTCAAATGCAGTAACCATAATGCATGACTATGTACTTCTCCTATCCGTTTCTTGAAGTCTGCTTGTTTGACCTATACAGGATTATGGGATGTTTATATGAAATATATTTGGTGAGGGTGAGGAATGTCTGCTACATTATTTGAGGGAAAAGTATGACGAGTGACCTGCCCTGTGCAAAGTGCACTCTTATATTAAAAACTGCATGTTCAGTGTGATAGATGGCCAGTGCATTTCCATGCACTGCCCATGTCCATAGTTCCCTTTGGTCAGTTTCTGGCCAATGGGAGCTATGAGGAAGGTCCTAGGGAAAGGAACATTGTGCAGAAACTGGCTAAGCCTTAAGGGTTGTGCAGAGACACTTGCCAGCAGCCTCTGGCCATGGTGCTTCTGGGAGCAATGTGTCTGGGGCTGCAGCAAGCAGGCAGGCAGGCAGACTGAACATCCTGCTGGGCTGCAGGACTTTTTCCACCAGCCCTGGCCCAGAGGGTCATGGCAAGCCAGAGGAAAATGTGTGGTGGACCAGATCCTGCCTGTAGGCTGAATCTTACCCATTCTATATGATTACCATTTTTTCCCTTCCAAATTTCAGTTTTCTGTCCCCAGACAGTCTGATGATAAAACAAAAAATTAAAGACACTAATGTACCCCTCTCTCTTTCTTAGTTTCAAAAATAGCCAAATGATCTTTCTGCAAACGTATCTTTCTTGGGCATGAACAACAGTTCACTAATTTCTGTCAAGTAGATAAGATTTGGAAAGATATTAACAATGGAAACTGGGAAAATTTAGAATGAAATGACCCAGTAAGTTTAACTTCGCTGTTATAATATTTGTAGCTGAAAGATCCTGCTGGAAAACCTGTGGCAACTGAGTTTAGTAATGCTCCATCAGCAACCAATGAAATTGTTACTTTACAGCTAATTTGCATGCAACACTGGTGATTGGTTAACTTATCTCGACTATCATAATGGTCTAAGACACTTGTCTACTGAAAGCCTGTACTATGGTGCAGGTGTAACTTATAACATTAAAATGACTTAAACCCTGGTCACTAAGAGAACTCAAGTGCTAGTGATGATTCATCATGGTGCTGTTCTGAACAAAAAGAGCTCTCAACCATGCTAGGAGTTGTTTCAGACATTCGGTGTGATAATCCTGGAATCTTGAATAGATTAGTATAGGTGTGCACATGTAACAGAAAACAGCCTTTGGAGTCCAAAGATATGAGTGGGTATAATAAGCATATGCTACAAAACAGAACAAACCCAAAATTCTGCCAGTCCGTGGTCACTATAGCTGGAATGGGTTGTCTGAATAAAAGGGTTTTGGAAATTTCGGACAGAAGAGAGTGGGGAAGGGGAATCTTGCAAGTTTGAGCTAGGAGTGTATTCTTATTTGGCTGCACACAAGAAGGCATGGTGTCATGAAATATTGGACATAATGTAGCTAGGAGAATTGCTGTATATAAACAATTTCCATGCTAATTATATTAATACTATCTCAAAGTATTTTCAGGATTAATCAGAGCAGTGCAAGATGGATCTCCATATTCTATTTTTCTCTAGGCTCTAGGCAGTGACTAGGGACTTATATTCACTGGGATTTTTTGTATATATGGGAGTCATCCAGACTGGTAAAACTGAGAGCAAAATTTGGCCCATTTTTTGTTATGGTTCTTTAGCTCTATTTGTTTAGAACTGCACCATAAGAGCAAAAATCATGCTGGTACGTCCAAATGACACTGCTTTTTCATGTTGCACAAGAGGGAGGGGAACATGCAATCATGCATAGAGGTACAGTCCCCAGTTTGTGTGGCTGTGCATTGTGAAACAAAAGGAAATATAAAATACTTGTAATTAAAGATGTCTGGAAGATGGGATAAATACAAACGTTGATTTAAAACTATCCCAAAATACCTGCCTCTAGTCGTCATGGGAGATTCCTGGGGTGCTTGTACTCCAGAGTTCTCTGTTGGAGAAACAGACCTCACCAGTAGAGGGAAAAAAATTGTGACGGTATCTACCAGGTAGTAGAACTAATCTGATCCCCCTTAAAATACTGTATGTAGCATTATATAAGCATGGACTAAACATAAGTTTCATTCTCTTTGGTGTTAACCTGCCCCTTTCTACAATTACAATCCATTTGGGGTTATATACTGGAGATGAAGACTGAGACATGACTGGAAAACAAAATGGATGCATTATAGAAGTAGAATTGCAATATATTGTCCAGGAAAATGTAACCCATGCTTTAACACTTCTAAATGAGTCCTAGAAACTGCTAGTAGAGGAGGGATAGTTTTCAGTTCATGAATAGGAGTTAGGGGACATGTTCTCAAATTATTATTCTGAAATAGGAATTGACTTAAAATTCAGGCC